GTCCATGTGAAATCCATCTCATTGTCTCTGTTATATTTTCTCTACAGCCCCCTAACTTTCTCTCTTTACCTGAATAGTAATTAGATTATGAATTTAAGATATAAAGAAATACATAACAAAGAACACAACATATATGAAAAGAATATACCTTCTTTCGTAACCAATGACCAAATGTATTACTGGGCTCTTGTTCTAGTTGTGCCTTTGGTTAGTAGGGTGTTGATCTTGCAAAAATTCCATGTGTCGTCCGTCAATACGTTCATGTTAATATTATAACAAAAAAAAACCTACATGTAAAAAAACTTTCTTGATATACATGAGTACTTCAGATGTATTTTGCAATACAAAGAAATGTGCTTTGCTGAATAGTTCTACTGAAACTTCTACCGACTTAGCAGATGATAGAGGAGTACCGTTTGTAATAGAACTACTATCTACACCTTTGTTATGATTGTCAGGTGGAATACCAACAGTATCCATCTTTTTAAGGAATTCACTAAAAAACTCAATCGTCTATTCTGACAACATTCTCTTCTGCAATGTATCCTTTTGGTCTATTTTTGTTTCGCACGTGCCCCTTAATAACCTTCATAAACCTTTCAAATGGGTACATCCATCTAAAGAATATTGGACAACATAATTTTACTTCCCTAGTTAGATGAACGGTTAAATGAATCATCACATCAAAAAATGATGGTGGAAAGTGTTTCTCAAGAAGGCATAATGTTACACATAACTCCTCTTGCAACTTATCGAGCTTATCCAGTTTGATTTCTTTGCTACATATTGATTTGAAAAAGAAACAAAACCTTGTAATAGCAACTCTAGTGGGTGGATGCATAATAGATAAAATTGCTATGGGCAAAAATTGTTGCATGAGCATGTGATAGTCATGTGATTTTAGTCCGATCAACTTCCTATCCTCCAGACTCACCAAACTAGGAAAATTAGAACAATACCCTTGAGGAACCCTTAAGTTGTAAGGACAACCACTTAACGTACCTAGAGCAAGATAATCATTAATAGTCCATAACACCACTGCACATAGTTTAAACTACTTGTGGTAAATCAAGATGGAAGGTCAATGAACAAAAAAATAAAATTTACAAGAATATTCCTGTAAAAATTTTGTGGTACTTTCCAATTATTCCGCGCTTGAAACGACTTTTTCAGTCTAATACTATTGTAAAATATTTAACATGGCACACAACAGACAGAAAGGTGGATATTGGTGTTTTAAGTCACCCAACTGATTCACCAGCATGGGCTACCATTGATGACAAATATCCTGACTTTGCTAGCGAACCAAGAAATTTGCGGCTAGGCATTTGGTTGACGGGGTTGATGTGAATAGAGGAAATAGGAATCATAGTGTGTGGCCTATTTTAACTGTCATTTACAACCTTCTACCATGGTTGTGTATGAAGAGAAAGCTAATCATGCTTTCGTTATTGATTTCGGGAACGCGAGGAAACGATATTGATGTGTTCCTAGCACCTTTTATTGATGATCTACAGTTTTTATTTGATATTGGAGTTGAAACATACGATGCATATGCACAAGATCAGTTTAAACTATGTGCAGTGGTGTTATGGACTATTAATGATTATCTTGCTCTAGGTACGTTAAGTGGTTGTCCTTACAACTTAAGGGTTCCTCAAGGGTATTGTTCTAATTTTCCTAGTTTGGTGAGTCTGAAGGATAGGAAGTTGATCGGACTAAAATCACATGACTATCACATGCTCATGCAACAATTTTTTCCCATAGGAATTTTATCTATTATGCATCCACCCACTAGAGTTGCTATTACAAGGTTTTGTTTCTTTTTCAAATCAATATGTAGCAAAGAAATCAAACTGGATAAGCTCGATAAGTTGCAAGAGGAGTTATGTGTAACATTATGCCTTCTTGAGAAACACTTTCCACCATCATTTTTTGATGTGATGATTCATTTAACCGTTCATCTAACTAGGGAAGTAAAATTATGTTGTCCAATATTCTTTAGATGGATGTACCCGTTTGAAAGGTTTATGAAGGTTATTAAGGGGCACGTGCGAAACAAAAATAGACCAAAAGGATACATTGCAGAAGAGAATGTTGTCAGAATAGACGATTGAGTTTTTTAGTGAATTCCATAAAAAGATGGATATTGTTGGTATTCCACCTGACAATCATAACAAAGGTGTAGATAGTAGTTCTATTACAAACGGTACTCCTCTATCATCTGCTAAGTCGGTAAAAGTTTCAGTAGAACTATTCAGCAAAGCACATTTCTTTGTATTGCAAAATACATCTGAAGTACTCATGTATATCAGTTGTTGAAGCATGCATGTGTCTTAGTATACCCTGAACCCATTACCTTGAATGCTTTTTTGGCCTTGTATGCACTACTGCACATTTCGTTTCCTTCTGGTAACATATTTTTGATCAAAACTAATAATTTCTTAAAGCACTTATCTGATACTCCATACTTACTCTTCAAGTTGAGTAGTTGTATGATTGCAGATAATTTTGTGAAATTAGAACACCCTTTATATAGGGGCTTCTCGCCATCTTCTATCAATTCTTTAAACTTCTCAGGGTTCCCAATAAAATTTTCTTCTACAACTTCAACCATCTCTATTGTTTCTGCAACATTTGCTGGCATTTCTATGTTCATGTTCGTGGAATCAACAACGTATGACTTTTCCATGTCAAAATTATGTTCATATATATAATTTCTGGGTGGTTCCTCTGTTTCTCCATGCTTATTCCAATTCGTGTATGTTTGATCAATTCCATTTCTGAATAGGTGATCATCTACCACATCAACCGAATGAGATATGTGGTTTACACACTTGACACATGGACATGGAATTCTTATCTTTTTTTTTTTTTTTTTTTTTTTTTTTTTTTTGTATCTACAGGATCCATATTTTTAGAAATCTTGTAATTCTATACTGCATATTTTAAAGATTCTGCAGCACCCTTTACATACGTTTTTGATGTTCTGTAGGCTCCCATCCAAGACTTATCCATATTCAATTTGTAACAACATCAACAAGCAATACATGTTTCCTGTTCATCGAAGTATTTTAACAAACAGTTGGTGTGCATAAAAGAAAAAGATCACATTACAAATAAATCCAATAACTGGAAACCAAATACTTGTTAATTCAAGAATATAAATTAATGTAGTACATGTACCTATATGGGTATGGGTTGTAGGTGGTTGGGTGTTGGTACGGGTTGACCATTATTAGGTCATGTACGGGTGTTGGTAATGGTTTGGAACCAAAATGGGTTTATAATATGGGTACAAGTTGCAGGTGGTCGGGTGTTGATATGGGTGTTGGTAATAGTTTGAGACCAAAATGGGTTTATAATATGGGTACGGGTTGCAGGTGGTCGGGTGTTGGTACGGGTTGGCCATGATTAGGTCATGTACGGGTGTTGGTAATGGTTTGAGACCAAAATGGGTTTATAATATGAGTACGGGTTGCAGGTGGTCGGGTGTTGGTACGGGTTGACCATTATTAGGTCATGTACGGGTGTTGGTAATGGTTTGGGACCAAATTGGGTTTATAACATGGGTACGGGTTGCAGGTGGTCGGGTATTGCTACGGGTTGACCATTATTAGGTCATGTACGAGTGTTGGTAATGGTTTGGGACCAAAATGGGTTTATAACATGGGTACGGGTTGTAGGTGGCTAGGTGTTGGTACGGGGTGACCATTATTAGGTCATGTACGGGTGTTGGTAATGGTTTGGGACCAAAATGGGTTTATAATATGGGTACGGGTTGCAGGTGGTCGGGTGTTGGTACGGGTTGACCATTATTAGGTCATGTACTGGTGTTGGTAATGGTTTGGGACCAAAATGCATTTATAATATGGGTACGAGTTGCAGGTGGTCAGGTGTTGGTACGGGTTGACCATTATTAGGTCATGTACGGGTGTTGGTAATGGTTTGGGACCAAAATGGTTTTATAATATGGGTACGGGTTGCAGGTGGTCGGGTGTTGGTACGGGTTGACCATTATTAGGTCATGTACGGGTGTTGGTAATGGTTTGGGACCAAAATAGGTTTATATTACGATTACGGGTTGCAGGTGGTTAGGTGTTGGTATGGGTTGACCATGGTTAGGTCATGTACGGGTGTTGGTAATGGTTTGGGACCAAAATGGGTTTATAATATGGGTGTGTGATACAATAGGATAATCAATGGTTTATGAATTTATGGCATATAAATGATTATAAAAAATTAATAAGCTAACTTGACCTTAGTATTATTTTTGTTATATAATACTATTTTTCCATTGTATATATATTTTTAAATTCCAATAGTCATATAGTTGTATCCTAAAATTAAATTGTTAATTTAGAAGGACCAAATATGTAATATTTTTATTAATACCAAATAAATCGTAATAATGTTTGAAAAGCCAGAACATGTTTCGAAACCACGATTTTTGCTTCTCATCATGTGGGATTAATATCAGATCAAAATTTGGAAAACATTTGAATTTGTCAAACGAAATTAAACAAAAATAATGGGAGGAAAACATTTTTTCGTAATGTTTTTGGCTCCAAATCAAAGCAGGAAATCATCATCTATCTCACCGCCAAAACTATGAAGATCAATCCATTGGATTAAGGAAATTCTGGTAAATTTTTGGTAACAACCTTCAATTTAGGATGTAGTATTTCATTTTAATATTTAACAGACTTTCATTTATTCCACCATTGTACTGTTTAGCGCTATGTTATATCCCAAATGGATTATAATTCAGTTAATCATTCATCACCCATTCTATTGTAAGTATATTTTTTGTGTATTCTGTCAATGTTATTGATTGTATTGATTAGGAGATCATGCATAAAACACACAATTTTAATTCTTCATAGTGGTGTGCTTGTTGCACACCAATTGTTTGATGAAAGGTGTTTGTTAACAATTGTCTGTAATATTGGTTACTCATACCTTTTCATTAAACATATAAATAATCAAACTTATTTACTATGTTTCATGTCAACAGAAGAATCATGGAGGTGAAGAAGGAACAACATGAGGATATGCCTGACTATGATACAAAATATGAGCAAGATGATGGAAACCAAGAATATGATTCGGACATAGAAGATGGTGAAAATAAGGACATTGACTACAATAGACATTCAGATTCGGAAGAAGAAATCCAAAACACAGTTCATACTAGGTCAAATAGGAAGAGGGGCATGACTCGATTGCCAAAGCTGAAGATTGAGTATGTCAATTCTGGTGGTAGAAAAAAACGTGTCAGGTTTGATGAATTCGATAAATTTATAGGGAAGAATAATACAATGTTTGTTAGTTATTTGGGTGATCTTGTCCACGAGAAGGTGGGATTAAGTGCTCTTTGCTGGAAAAAAGTAAAACCGGAAGTGAAGGACAAACTATGGGAAGAGATTACAGTAAATATTTTCTTCACTTTTTTAAATTGCATATCATATTATATGTAAAAATCAAGTATTAAATACTAACATATTCATTGTTGTTTCATTTTAGCGCTATTTTGAAGTTCATGAAAGTGGAAAACAATTTGTGATGAATAGGCTTGGTATCCTTCTACGGAACTTCATAAGGAAATTGTATGCAGATTACATCAAGCCACATCTAGGAAATCCCAAAAAGCTTGAAAAAATCCCCCTTCGTTATCGTGCACTAATTATTGAAAAAGATGATTGGAACAAATTCGTGACATATACACAATCTCAAGAGTTTAATGTTACAATTTTTTTCTTTCAAAACTTCTTCATTTATTTATCATAAACTGGGTTACAAAAGTGCTTGACAAATATTTTACTTTTTTTGACAGAATGTGTCACAAAGGACTATCAAAGTGAGAAAGATGTCAAAGTATGCTCATCGGATGGGACGAGGGGGGTATACTACTCTTAGGAGGAAGTTGGTAAGCTTGGTTTTTAGTTATATGATCCTATTATATTAACTTCATAGCATTGTAGTTAACAGGATTTTGTTTCATATTCTTTACAATTTTTTTTATCAAGATTGAAGAGAAAGTGATTTCAAAGGAGGAAATACCCCCAAGGTCAGTTATGTGGTGTAAAGGGCTTGAAAGTAAATGAGAATTTAAGGATGAAGATGTTAAAATCATGGCGGATAAACTAGTAAATGTTGATGGAACATGAGAAGATTTTAATCACTTTTATTAGGACAATAATTATTAATATTTTGTTTGGTAGATGGAACATGAGAAGCAGATAAAAGAAGGACAAGTAAATGTTGAACCAGGAACGGATGCCATGACCTTAGTTTTTGTCAAGGAAAAGGATGGATTTTTAAAGGGTGTCGACACGGGAGTCACTTACAACAAATATTTCAATGTTCCTCGCAGCAAATGATCATATAATGAAGAAATTAAAGATCTTAAAGTTGCATTACATAATGGGAAACTTGAGCTTGAGAAAAAAGATGTTGAACTCAAGGCTTTGTCTACAAAGATTAATGAACAAGATCAAACACTAAAGCTAGTTTTGGCTCATTTTAATGCAAAAGGAGCTGACTTTCCAAATCTGTCTCATACAATTGTAAGTAATCTTATTAAAAACATCTATTGTCAATGTTACTTGTAAATTGCATTTCTTTTAGACACTTTCCCTGTTTCTTTATATTTTCTATGGTATTTCAAGTGAGAAGATTGTTCAACGTAGTGAAACGACTCCTGTTAGTCTCAAAACCAATGAACCATCAGAACCTATAACACTGGTATGTTATCATCTTATAAGATCATCGTTGATATATATATATATATATATATATATATATATATATATATATATATATATATATATATTGGTACTAATTTCTGTTTTTCACCTAGAACTTTAACTTATTTAGGTTATTGCAAAACCCACCAAGAGAGCAGTTCAAACCAAATCTGCAACTGCAACTCCCGATACATAATTGATTTCCATGAAATCTACAATAGTAGTGTATACTAACTTTACAGTTTTCAATACTTTTAATTTATCTTTTATATTAAAATATAATTTTGCATATATGTCTTAAATCTTTATATTAGACAAATACAAAACCCACTAGAAAAGGTGTTGAGTTTAAAACTGCCACTATCAATCATAACATACCAAAAGTTTCACCAAATAAATCTCTTTACCAGGTTAGTGTTTGTTTACATGTTGAATATACATTTCCGTCTTTTTTTTTGTTTTTTTTTCTGATTCTAATATTATTTGTCATTGTAGCTAATCAAGTGTAGTCTATCATATCCGTATAAAAGGAACATCGTTGCTTGTGGTACCGTTCACTTGTCATCAGAAAGACAATTCATTCATGAAGTTCCTTTACAAGATGATTGCTATAAAGTTTCCCTTGATGAAGTGGTAATAAAACATGCATTTCTACCCCATAAAAATGGAGAATTCACATTATTTGAGGATGCATATAAAAGTTTTGTTGCATGGCCAAAATACCTTGTGCAAACCGAGTCAAAGGTTTGTTTAATTATGCTCACTACTTTGTGCATTACACTTTATTGTATTCATAAAGTAGTATACTAAGTTTATGATGAACTCATTTTTTTGGTTTCATGTTGTTGTAGGTACCAGAAATTATATCACATCAAAACTCAACGAAAAGGAAACCAACTTACATATCATCTGATGCCCTTCTCAAGAAGACAATGAGCAATACAAACAAGATGAATGCCTAGTTATGTTTAGGTTTTGGTTTATGATGTGTTTGATTTTTTTACCATTATATAAATTCTTGAAATTAGGACAATTTTCTTTTCTTTGCTATTTTAATTAGGAATGTAATGTATGGATTTGGATTTCAATTATTACTAATATCAAATTATGAATTTTTCTTTTGTTTCATATTGTTGGGTTTCGTTACTTTAATTTAAATTATTTTGATGTGTCTACAATGTAGAAAAAATAACAATAAATAATAAATTAAAGTGGCTTTAATATAAATTTTGCCATGTTTTATAGGTTTTCAATGTCTCTAAAAATATGCAATGGTTACTTTACATCATTTTTTAACGTGTGACTAAATGGTTAACAATAGCCATAATATACAAGAATTATGAGACTACAATTGATTTAAAATGATGTTTATTCTAAAGTTTTTGTGACTAAGTTAAACAATAACAACATGAAAAACAATTTATGTGGCAAATAAATACCATAATTGATTGTTGTTTAGACTAAATACTAGCAAATCGTCACTTACATCATTAATTATATGTATCCATTTACCGAACATGGACATGTTTACCGTAATTATATGTGTCTAAAATATACCCAATAGTCTTAATACGATACCGAATAGTCCTTAATTTTAACAAAATGTGTGTCTTTATAATACTTATGATTGTATTTCACTTAATTGTGTCTCTATACAATAGGTTATAGTCACAAAAATTGATTGTTTTTTGTGACTAATAATGAGCAATTCGTCACTTATGTAAGTAATTACATGTGGCCATTTAGCAAACATGGTCAGACTCACCGTAATTACATGTTTACAAAAGATAGACAATAGTCTTAATAAAATTTAAACTATGTGACAATATAAAAGAAAACAACTACACTAAAACATCATGAATGTCGCAAGTTGGTGATATACAGTCGCCACGTTTACTAAATAAATGTGACTACTGACGGTATAACACCACAATATTGAATATTTAAGGAACAAAATTCCGTACACATTTGCCACACTTTTATAATATGGCAACATGTTTTCATATCATACAGACACTACATTTTAACGTAACCATAAGACCCATACGATGATGTCACCTTTCGTCACACTTTCAGTAAAAAAATAAAATGTCACTATACGCATATGGTCACACTTTTTTGGTGTGACTGCAAGTCATTTTCTTGTAGTGTTTCTCCTCAAATCCCAACATAAATCAATAAAATTTTGAACCTAACAATACTTGTTACTTCCATAGGAATTAATATTGTGATGTTTTTATGTCATAAAGATCCTAGTGCAAATCATGATCCTTCTTAGATCCCATGAAATAAGAAACATTTCATCTCATATTTGTGTATACCGTTGCTACTCTATTTTTATTCACCATGCATACTCCATCACATACAATTTATACTAACCCTTTATGGCAACAAGTTTTGATCGATAAAATCTAGGCTTTAAATAAATTTCAAACATGGAAATTGTCCATCTTCTCTAAGAAAGGGAATCATTGGATGTAAGTAGGTACACAAAATTCAAAACCAAGTGTGATGGGTTAGTGATTAGTTTGCAAGGGTTTCAATCAAGAATATGTCATATAGTATGATGAAACATTTACTATTATAGCTTGAGTCACCTTAGTTCACAACCTTGTTGTTGTAGTTGTAAAAAATGAATACTATATCACAAAGATGTCAAGAATGCCTACTTAAGGCGACTTTTTATGAAAAGGCCTACATGAAACTTATTTGATGATTCTCTCATCCATAATATCATGCTTTCTACTCTGCAAGAATCCCTTTAGTCTAAAAAATATCTACACACTTAGTTTGAAAATTAGGCACAACTGCTTTTCAAATGTCTAACAGAAAGTTAAGAAATCTCAACCTTTCACCTTAATTTATTTTATGGTTTATTAGTTAGATATAAAGTTAATCATTGTATGTATGTTGTAGTAACGTTTTATGTATTAAAAGTATTTGGGGCTAGTTGCTGATATTAGGCTACTGGTTGGGGCTAAAGAGTAAATGGGATAAAGATGGTACATGGTTGAAAGATTAAAGGAACTAGAGGACTAAAGATGTACATACTGGAATGTATTGGAATGGTCCTAATTTCCCAGAAAGTTGGAAAGGATGGCATGAACCTAGAGAAGACCAAACACGTCATACAGGTAGTACTCGGGTTATATATATGCTAATGAGAGAGAGAGATAGAAACAAAAAGAGAGATAAAGAGAGAGAAAGAGAGATAATGTCACACCACCAAACCGGAACGATGGAAACGTTCGGGGGTGGAGGAAGACATGTATAGTATCACAACATTTGTATAATATGAATCAAAGTAAATACAACCATTACATTGATAAGGTAAAGTATTTACATATGTTCCATACAATAGTTTGTATGTCATCAAAATGTATAAAAAATCTATAAAAGACGCGACTCTAAAAACTCCATCTTCTCAAAACCTGCGGGTGTACCTGTCTACCGGTCCCCTAAGAATACAAGTGGTTTTGAAAAGGTATCAACATTTAAGTTGGTGATTTCATAAGTATGTTTTTGAGATAGAAAAGCTTGTATTTGTTCCTTGAAAATGTTGTAGTGTACTTCCAGAAAGTCCAATATTTTCTTTAGTGAATGTAATGTAGTTTTGTAAATAGATAAAACTATTTATTGTATATTCCTTAGTTGTATGCTATATTAGTGTACTCAGTACTAGGAAATAGTGTACTGTAACTGTTTTTGTTTGAAAATCTTTGTATGAATGCCTAGATACCACCAACTGTAGTGTAAAGTATTGTATTGTTGTAGTGTTTGTATGAAAACCATTGTATGAATGCTTGGATACCACCGATTGTAGTGTTGGTATGAAAACCATTGTATCAATGTCTGGATACCACCAACTATAGTGTAAAGTAGTGTACTATTGTATTGTTTGTATGAAAAACACTATATGAATGTTTGGATACCACTATCTTTAGTGTACTGTTGTTTTCTTGATTAAAATAAAACCATTGAAGTAGTGTTAATCCCTTAAACAAATGTTTTAGTTTATATTGTTGTGAGTTTGATTTAACCATGCTTGATATGACCTAGTGACCTTTACGATGTCTGAAAATTTTCACCCCAGGCCTGCCGGCCTAACTGTAGCGAGTAGTTCAGGTGTGAGATTATCAGTCCCGTATAGATCTATACACAAATCTCACGCTCTCCCTCCAGGAGACTCTGGTTATACTGTATAGGATTTAGTTTTGTACCATGATGTATACAGTTGAAGTAGTGCCTCACAACCCAATATTAACTAGTTTACACGTAGTGTTCTCTTGTACGTGAAACTGTTTGTATAAATTTGTAGTAGAGTACTTTGTAATGTAAAATAATTTTACTTCAATAATTATTTAGTAATGTATATTTGTATCAGGGAAATAGTGTAGTGTTCCATAAACTATAACTACCATAGTTTACACGTTTGTTTGTTTATGGATAGTGTTCTTGTACTTGTAAAACAGTGTAATGTATCCCAAACTACACCTATTATAGTTTGAATGTATGTTATTGTTTTGTGTATTGAACTTAGTAATAGTGATATAGTGTTCGCAAACTATATCAATAATAGTTTAATTGTATATTCTGTATTGTACTGAAAACTTTTTTCCATTTAGTTGTATGAACGAAAAACACCCTTATGCTCGACATGTTGCAAAGGGTTAAAAATATATGAATATTTTTATGAAATTTAGTGAATACTCGGTTTGAATCAATTGCAAATGTTTTGAAATTGTTTGAAAACGTTTGTATAAAAAACACAAAAGTCCTTGTGGTTTACTTGTATTCTCCCCTAAAAACATTGAAAACATAGGGGTATGAACTCACCTCTGTTACGTGTTCATGTCAGGATAACATGATTGAAGAGATGATCCTCGGGCTAGCGTATGTGAAAATAACGGTATCCTAGAATTATTTAAACATGTAATCATATTTAAATTAGTGAAATAATAAATTGAAGTGTTAGAAAACACTTGATTTATGTAAGGAATTTCTTGAAGGAGTTACCGAAAATGGTGTGAAGTTTTGGGGAGGGTTTTCAGTCAAAGCTTCACCAAAATCCCTGATTTCGGTCCTAAACCCTCAACCGAGGACCAGGTTCTCGGTTCTAGGGTGTTCTCGGTTACGATAGTTTTCTCGATCGCTTGAAAATTTGAAGTCTGTTCTTGGTATTCTTGGTGAGAAACATGAAGATTTGAAGGTTTTTCCCTTGAAGGTATGAATGTTCTTGGATGATACTTGAGAGAAACATAGGAGTGTTTTCGAGTGAAAGAGTGAGTAAATGAATTATTTTTCTAGTGAAACTATATCTATCGGTTGGGTTCTCGGTTGGAAAGTGGGTTCTCAGCTGAGAACGGGTTTTTGGTCGGAAACTTGATTTCGGTGGGGGAGGTTTTCGGTTCCATGGGAGAATTGGATTTTTATGCGTATTTTATTTCAAATACTTATATAAAAACATCATTTATATAATTTATATCATAATTAACCCCCATGGACGTAAGAAGTTTTATCTAAGAAGGTTTGACTTTTATTGACTGGAAAAATAACGAGTTGTTACATTATTCCTCCGTTAGAGGGAATTTCGTCCCAAAATTCTTCCTATAGAGAGTACACCATGGACCAGGGTAAAGATGTGGGTAGTTTTGTTGCATATGATCTTCTCGCTCCCAATTGAATTCAGGTCCCCACTTGGCATTCCAGCGAACCTTCACTATCAGTATGCGACTTTTTTTCGTTCGTTTGACTTCCCTATCCATGATTTCTACTAGTTCTTCCACGAAGTTAAAAATCTATTTAATCTTGATTTCATCGAGTGGAATCAGAAGAGTCTTTTCAGATAGACATTTGTTAAGTTTCGACACGTGGAAGGCAGAGTGTATGTTGTTAAGTTCTTGTGGAAAACGGAGTTTGTAAACCACCGGGCCGATTCTAGCGAGAATATCGAATGGACCAT